AACTTCGTTGATTTTTTGTGTGGTGAATTAATGAAACGAAATTCGCTGGTTTTATAGGGGGTAGCCAGCAATACGCCAGCGGACCCGCCATAGTCCTTAGCGCCATCGCCAGGCACAATTTCCCACAACACACCTCAGTCTCAGATGGTACTACCTCAGTCTTTGGCGTCTCGCTGGTTTTGCTCTCCAAAACACAATATTTATGTAAATACTTTTTAATTCATTAAAAAAATAATATTTATGTAATTAACCCGAGTTATCTTATCATTTTGCGATTGTTTTTGTTGAGATTGTCATTATGCATGTATTGTTTACAATGCATCGTTTTTTTGTTTTTTTAGCAGAAATAATACATGGATTGTCTCTATGATGTGACAGAAACTATCACTCATTTTGAGTGATTGTTATATATCAACTTTTAGAGGTCGTTTGGAAGTTGCGATTGTTAAATAGATGTATTGTTGAGAATGCATGTATAATATTATACATGTATTGTCGAATTTGATGCATTGTAGAATACAACGTTTGGTATGTGTGATTGTGTATGTCGCATCAGCTAAAAGCTGAGACAAAACAATCTCAACTCAACTATCTCAACAATCACAACTAAAAGTTGAGATATAACAATCACTCAAAATGAGTGATAGTTTCTGTTATATCACAGAAACAATCCATGTATTGTTTCTGCCAAAAAAACAAAAAAAATGATGCATTGTAAACAATACATGCATAATGACAATCTCAACAAAACAATCGCAACTTCCAAACGACCCCTTAGTTGTGATTGTTGAGATAGTTGAATTGAGATTGTTTTGTCTGAGCTTTTAGTTGATGCGACATACACAATCACACATACCAAACGTTGTATTCTACAATGCATCAAATTCGACAATACATGTATAATATTATACATGCATTCTCAACAATACATCTATTTAACAATTGCAACTTCCAAACGACCCCTTAAGTAATTATCCATTTATTACCCCGGTAAACATAAATGGGACAAAAAAAGTTCAGAATGAAAATTAATTAGCGGGCCCGAGAAGCTGAGGTGACTGGACACATTGATAGGGTTCGGTTAGCCTGACTACCCCTAAAGGGGTAGTGATTTTTGACACCCCCTTTATGATTGGCCAATTTTATTTCCAATCATTGGCATGTATTAATTAAACTGGTTTTTTATTTTTTTTAATCTTGTAATTTGGGGTCTCTCACCACATTGGAAAAGAGAAAGAATCTGGGGAAAAATGAAATCACCCCCATTAATTACATAATTAATTTCTCTCACTGGTACATTAATTACACGTACCACTCCACTGGTACACGTACCACTCCACTGGTGCGAGCAATCCACAAGGTAGGTTAGAGTGAGAACAATACCAGTGCAATGATATTTTTCATAACAATGATAAACAATAACGGAGCAACAATGCAGTACCACTTCAATGATACAAATACCACTCCACTGGTACACGTACCACTCCACTGGTACACGTACCACTCCATTGGTAGGTCAGAGGCGATCCCAGGATGGCGGCAGCTGGAGATAGGAGGATGGTGGTGGGGGAAGGCGCTGGAGGGTTTTGGTCGTTTCAGAGTAGAGGAGGGTTCTGGTTAAAATGAAATCAAAATGGAAAGAGGGCCCAAATGGAGAGAGAAGGAGACGAAAGGAAGAAAAAAAGGCAATTAATTGCACATTTGGGGGGAGCTTTTTTCTGATTCCCCATATTCTTTCCTTTTCCAATGTGGGTGAGAGACCCCAAATTACAAGATTAAAAAAAATAAAAAAACCAGTTTAATTAATACTTGTCAATGATTGGAAATAAAATTGGCCAATCATAAGGGGTGTCGAAAATCACTACCCCTTTAGGGGTTAGCATAGTATCCGACCCCACATTGATATAACGAGTAGGGGGTGATGGCGTGGCCTGATACGTCACATGGGCTGGCACGCAACACAGCGTAGCCATTGGTTGACGTGACTGTCCCTGCCTATCTGTCAGTCTACTATTCGCCGCCTGCCCACGTCAAATTGTACGATGATGTTGATAAAGCCTTTGCATTTTATCCTTTTTCATTTTTTACATAAACAAATTCCACCCCACGCATTTCTATATCATACACTTTATTTTTTTTATTATGCGCTGTATTATTATTTTTATTTGTTTGACCCTTATCCAACGTGTAATATTAGTGACCCATTTTAGTAAGAACAACGAATGCCACTATCATCATCTATTGAACATCTCATGTTAGTCATTAACCCACCAATCGCCAAAGTGACACATGACTGTTTGAGGGTTGCTGTTGGAACCTGGTGATTATGTGAATCGAATGTAGGATAGTTCGTCAATCAGTTGTCGGACTTATGATGTATAAAATTTATACACTATAATTTTTCGAATCAACGACTATGTTCGCATAAGGTTGGTGTCGAGGCTATAATGTTACTTCATAATTATTATTTCTATTGTCAAGTATACTTGAATAATGTACACACGCCGATACAGTTTAGAAAACCTAATGAGGTGAATGTAGTGAAGATCAAATAAAACAAGTGCAGTGGCGGAGGCAGGGCCTTTTGGCCTTGTCCCGGGACAGGGTAAATTTTGGTGGAACAAAAATATGCCATATATATTTATATTGGTGATGGAACATAACACGTATAGGTAGTATTAGAGTACTTTGTCACTACAACACAATTCATTATTTGTCCGAAATTGACATAAAATTAATTTATTATACAATAAACGAAATTCCAATTGCAATAAAGAACTAATCGGATCTCTTTTCTCCTTATGCCTATTCGATCTGTCCCCAACAACCCTGAAATTGTCTAGCGACAACGGCAATCCCACTAGTTTTGATCTACCAATTACAACTGCAAGTGTAAAAAGAGCATTTTCAGGTTTGAGTTATATTAAGAACAAGTTTCCAAGTCGATTTGGCGACCAGTTTGCTAATACTTGTTTAGTAAGATACATTGAAAGAGACTTATATAATAGTGTAGACAAGGAATGTTTTTGCGCTTCTTTCACTATATGAAATTCCTTCGAAGTTGTTTCTGAAAAGTATGATAGTATAATTGGTTATTTTTAATTTATGAATGAATTATTTGGATATAATGATTTTTTATTAAATAATTATTTTATTAGATATTTATATATTTAAATTATGAAAAAAGGACATGGGTGGTTTGAAATGCTGGCTCCGCCACTGAACAAGTGTAGTCAGCAAGCAATAGGTGTGATGGTCTAATAGATGGTTGTAACTAGTGCAAACTATAATCCGTATGAATTTCAAAGTAATAATCAGACAACTCGTAGATAGGAAGAAAAATTAATGCAAAAATATATCGGTAGAACTCGAAATTAACATCTTCTCATATCTCAATGATGTTACAACACTATGGTAAAGCACCGACATTGCGGGTAGAAGTGGCAACATTATTTTATTATATATATGAGCATAAGTTTTGTTAAAATGATGACAGCTAAATATGTGAGAAGTGAGAACGTATTCACTGGGACGCGCTACTAAGTTGTACTACCTTTGAGCATAGTTAGTAAAATACGGTACGGGAAAGTTACGTATAAAATACATACGGGTATTTTACTTCGTCTCTAATTCTAAGCTAATGTTACGTTTAATAGTACGTTAGTAGTCATAAATATATAAATTAATTATTTTTAAAAATAAATAAATATGTAAAAAACAGTAAAGTTACTAATTTAATTCATTAAATACGGATATTAAACGTGTTATACTGATTTTATACGTGTTTAGTACGGGAGCCGTCAAATGAATGAAAACAAATGAAACGGCTTGACAATAATACGGATACGAAGATTTTAAACGATAAAGTACGTACGGGTACATATATGTGTATTAAACGGAGTATTTACTAACTATGCCTTGGAGCAATCCGACAACTAGATGCCTCATAAGCATGTCGTCAAAGAATGCCTTGTAAGCATAATCGCCGGTTGATATAAACATCAGCCCTCATGGTAATATAATGAGTCTAGCTTGGTAATCCCTCTATAGTATATAATATATAGTAGTGGTTATGTAAGGATTAATTAAGAAATGGTCAATACAATGGTGTTGGGTGAAGCTACTAATGTGAAATGTCTCTCAATAACCGCTCCCCCTTTTTGTCTGTTATTTGTTTATTAATCAATTAAGAACTAGAGAGGGAGAGAGCGAGAGAAAAATGATTCTTAACTTTGCCAAAATTGAACAAGAAATCAGTGACTAGGTTCCCACGACAACCCTCTAATTGCTTTTTTTTTCCTCTTTCTTTTTCAGAAAATTAAAAGAAGTAGTATTTATTAATTATTATTATTATTTCCTGGGTGGCTGCTGTCTTCTGTTGTTGTTCTAGCCTTGGCCTTTTCTTTTGAACATTTTATTTCCTAAAATGCAAATATTCCATTCGTCTGGTCTGCGTTGAAACTTGAAAGGTAGTAGAGGAAAAGAAAGACAGAGAAGTAGATTAGATGAAGAATACGTAGTACAATGGGGCAAAAGGGGAAACTAACTCGTAAACAAACAAAGAAAGACCGACCCTCCCTTCGATTTCGATTTCCATTTCCGTTTCCATCCCAAAAAGTCTATCTCCTCCATTTCAATTCCTTCCTTCCTTGTGGCCGCAGACCAAACAAGATCCCTCCAAATTCCTTCCTTCTCAATCTCTCTTTAGGGTTTCCCGATTCGGTTCTCTACAATCAGTTTCATTCCGGCAAAGACAATATCATAGATCTCAAATCAAACCAGCCACATGTGGAAGCCTCCATTGGTTTCTGCCCTCTGACGGCAGCCGCACAGTCGCCGGTTTGGTCGGCTCTCTTCCTTTGCTGCGGCCAAGAAAGATCGAGCCTTTCTTACTCTGCGAGGTGAGATGCGTGGAGGGTTGTTTGCTGTTCATATTCATCTGATTCTTAGGGTTCTTTCCTTGTTGGTTGACTTGAAGTTTTGTAATCAGCTGGTCAAAGATGGTGAGGGGGAAAGTGGAGCTGAGGAAGATCGAGAACGCGGCGAGCAGGCAGGTGACCTTCTCCAAGCGGAGGAATGGGCTGTTGAAGAAAGCCCACGAGCTGTCCGTACTGTGCGACGCCGAGGTTGCGGTCATCGTCTTCTCCCAGCGAGGAAGGCTCGCCGAGTTCTCGAACCACGAGTAAGAAAGAACGGAACTTATCGGCTACTAAATGCTTGCTTAATTAATTAGCATTGCTAATCAATCTGCTTTTGCCTTGCTTGATTGATTGAAGCGTACGTTGAGTAAATCAACAAATGAGTTCAGACATTAAATGGCCAGTAGTAGTACCATCCTCCAGCTGCTACGAAGCTTTTTTTTTTAATTTCCCTTTTCAAAATCTCTTCTGGATTTCCTTGTTAATTACTTACCCGATCGAGGAGTTTTGCCTGCAGTCAGGTTTGCTTATTTTATACTAAACAAAATACACCCTCCCCCAAGTTTCCGTACTGTTTTCTTTCTTTAGTTTTTAGCAAGTCTGTGTTGTAAGTAACACCAAATTGGAGGGTGTATGGTAAAAGTAAGAGATGGAATATTTTATGCTGAATTCTTGATTTAGTTGTGATTTAATCACTTCATACTGTGAGAATAAAAATAAGTCTGTCGGTTAAAACTCCAATAAGAGAGTTTTTTCCGATCGGACCATATATACGATACGGTTTCACATTTTTAACAAGAAATAATAATTCCCGTACTGTTTTTTTAACCGGAGATGAGGCTTTGGTGGACCTTCTTGGCTAGCTAAATCACCATTAATCCATATATGGCTGGCTACCTCGAGTCCTTGATCATTCTAGTTAGTAGTACTATTACTGCTGCTGCTTGGTCATGATCATGAACTCATTCATTTTATCCACCATGCTTCTTAGTGCAAGGTTGATTAATTACTTGATTCACTTCGACTAACTGCGCCTCATCTTGATGAGTTGATGAGTATACATTTAAGGTGAAGGTGTCTATGAATCTATCTACAAAAAAGGTTTGTGGTTTATTTTCTATTGTTAGTGGTGATAAATTATTTCAATGTTGCCATTGATGGATTTTGGTCCTTGTTTTTTTTAATAAATATTGTTTGTTCAATCGTATAACAATTCAGTCTGATTTTGAATTGATCTGCCCCCTAACCATATACATCGTGATTATAAGGACACTGTTAATATTGGGGTACTATGAAGGGAGAGCTAGTTAGTTTCTTTTAGTCATTGTTATAACATAGTGAATAATGCATATATCGAAACAAATTACAAAGACATTTATCATGTTGATGATTATTTTACATTAACACATTCTGTTTTTTATTTATCAACTAAATATCCAATTCGATATCGTGCGTTCTGCATGAAGATATTTCAACCATGCATATATATCTTAGAAAATAAGAGTTATATATAACACAATTCACCTTTCATGACATAAGAAGTTATATGTGTATATGATTTATGATACATACAAATTATTATGTCAAGTTGAATTGTGATATATGGTTTGATCTATAAAAGTGATAAGGTTTGATCATTTTTCATGCTGATGTCATTCCTGAAATGATGTAGTAATTAATGCAATATTGACTGCAAATAACAGTGTTTAAACCTCCAATGCTGTTTGTTTGTTAGCAAGGCTGTATACTCAAGACAAGTGGAGGCAAAGATTTGACAAACTCCATAAAAGACATGCCATCAAAATGCATATCATATTTATGTGTGCAAAATCAAACAATGTATTTGTAATCCAACTATACGATGAGAGCATAGCAATTTTGTGCTGATGTGTTCGAGTTCTGATGGCTCGATTTTCGAAGAATTGTATTTTTCTCGTCGTTTTAAATTTGCTTGTTGTTGTGATTCTTATCGTCTCTTTGATAAATATTATTATGTGAAGACCTTCAAAAAGAAAATAGAAATAGAATTAAGGGGATTAACTCGATAAAGTGTGTAAACCCCAAACTTTAAGTAGTGATCTTCATTGTGAACCATTCAATGATTTGTGGTAAAGAGTTTTGCTGTATGCATAGTCTGACTTTCATGTTAAATGCTCATGATGAGTTGAATCGTTTATGGTGACCTGGGTTTATATGATTAATGCATATACATGTCTTTAACTAAAGTAGAAAGTGGAGTGATAAAGTTGTATATCCTTGCAACAAACAAAGTGATCTAATATTTTTCTGGTACAGAAAGAGACCAAATGCCATGGCTAGATGTTGCACTAATTCGGTATGGTTTGATTGGTTTCCCCATTTGATTTCCGTATTTGACATTCAGGGAATTGAATTTCCATAGAGATCTCAGTAGTTTGCTATGGTTTTATTACAAAAATGATATTATTAATGTCACTAGATACAAAGCCACAGAATCATGAATTATAGTAGACAGAAACATACTCCATTGTTTGCTCTCAAGAATCATACGTACCATTTTTCGTATTAACATTCTTATTTGTGAGAAGTCGTTCTAAATGAATGAGATAGCTTAAAACGTTGCAAAGTAGTGTGATGAGTTAAGTCATGACCGGTCATCCATAGACAGACAATCAATTGTCTTCTAAGGAATTTCGTTTTACCTTGATTGTGTACACCATAAAGTCCTAGACCCTATTATCCCAATACGTGGAAACTCACACTTTTAAGTTTGTATTGATTTTAATTTTGTAACTTGTCTTCACTCTACAATGCATAAAATCCCACCCACTAATCCGCCTTGGATTAACGATACACACATGTATGGAATGGAGATACTAGTTGATTACAAGTATGAGTGAATATCTTAAGAGCTAGCTAGCATGGCTTATCTGCTGTTTGTTTTATGGGGAATGGCTTTGCAGAATGCCGAAGACGATAGCTCGGTACCAAAAGTATGCAGCAGTTGAAGTCGACAAGACAGATACAGATTACTACTGCATTCAGGTCAGTCATCCTCATAGATGAATGCTACACGTTATGTCTGTAATGATGATTGGTGAACCTGAAACCCTTACCACTTCCGAGTCTCCTGGTCCAGGCCTTGTGTTCACAGTCCGTCGAGTTTTACTAGGTTATGTATTAACTGGAGTTTGGGACATGATAGTATACTCTAATCTCTAATCGGTGAACTCCAATTCCAAATTCTCTAACATGAACCATTAGATTCATTCAGTAAAAAAAATCGACGATTCTGATTTGTCAAAATATATCAAAGTACATATACCAAGTATAAACGCAGATGTATAGCGTATTACGTCGTACACTAACCTTTGCCATATATATATTTCACGGTAAGAGTATGATATATATATGCTTCTTCTTCTTGTTCTATCCTTATTGTGTACTTGAATCCACATGCAGCAACTCAAGCAAGAATCCGCTTCTATGGCTAAGAAGATTGAGCAGCTTGAAGCCTCCAGAGGGTTCCTTCCATCTCCCTAACTTCCTAGCTACCCATGAAACTGATCAAAATACTTACGTGGGACTAAGTTTGCTTTCTAATGGCTGTGATGATGCAGAAAGCTCATGGGAGAGCAGTTGGGGTCGTGTTCCCTGGAAGAGATCCGAGGGTTGACCGAGCAGCTGGAAAGAGGCTTGTCAAACATCCGACTCAGAAAAGTACGCATGCATGCACCATTACTACCCAATTGGGTTTATGTTCCAGCAATCTTTGTCTCATGCTGTGTTCATTGAATTGATCAGGATGAGATGTTCATGGAGCAGATGGAAAAACTCAAGTTACAGGCAAGAATCATGGATCCTCAATTCCTCATTTTCACCCAATGATATCATAGTTGAATGCTGGGTTTAACTTTTAGGCACATCAAAAGAGCTCCATATATATATATTTAACCCTGGGTAGAAATTAGCTTATTGTGGTAATTATCTGAAATGAGAGTGTAGATATCAATCAAGTTCAACCTCAATTTTTGTTATATGAAAACTTGGTCTGCAGGAAAAGGAGCTGCTACAACAGAAGGCAACATTATGTGGAAAGGTCAGCATGCACGTAGTTAAGAGAATCTCGTATTGGAGTTGCCATTTTTAGGATATGCAATGTTAGTGTTCACCATTTTTGCGGTTTAAAATGTTAGTGTCGGGAGATGCCACGGGAACCGGAAAGACGTGAGACAGATTACGAGGCGGCGACGGCGGGAAGCAGCGTGGGACTGAGCAATGAAAGTTCGACGGTGGAGACGACGTTGTCCATCGGATTGCCGACGGCAACATATTGTGCTTTGAAGTAGATTGTTCCGTCATCAGTTTAGTCACTCTTTTTTCTTTCTCATCATTCATATACAGGAACCATAATAGTTAACTGTATACTAAAGTTCTGAAATAGTGTAATAATGAGCTCTGAATGTAATGGCAGATTGGCCGTTTGTCTCGCCCAATACAAGAGCTCCAATGTGTACACGCACGCCGACCAGGAATGACAAATGGGCTTTTCTATATCGTTTGCCATCTCTGGGCTACAGCTTGCATGTTCGCGTGGGCTTACGTACGTTTGGTATTATGCTTTCGAACTAAACCCAAACAGAAATAATCGTACTCAATTCCCTGCCTCCGGGACCGGGACCAGTCCATCAGCCATCCATCCTTTTATTTTTTTTATAATGGTGGCATTCATTGGAAAAAAAAATATATACAAGAAAAAACCAAAACAATGAAGAAACAAGCAAACGAGAGGCAGCCAAAGCAGAACTGCTAGTGCTAGCCCAGAACACCCAAATCAACTTCCCGGTTCTCAAAGTGTTTGCCCCAAACCACAAACAAGTGCCAAAAACAGAGGGATTGAAAAAATGCAGCATCAAACAAATGACACTTGTTTAAGCTTTAGCCATAACGCGTCATTCCTATCAACAAACAGCCATTGCATCCATCCACTCTACCGATGAAAGACATAACATTAGCCGTCAACAAGAACATTCACACCATTGTATGATCTCGGTCCGCTGTCACCTGCAGCATTACAAAACTGCAGTTCCACGACTGCTGTCGGTTCTTGCCCTCAGTGTCTCCAACCACTCTTCAGCGACAGCTCTGTCCACTTTACCCGCTACCACCAACCATCGAGCGATCAAAGTACCTGTTTTGATAGCAATCATCATACTTGTTGTTCTCTCATCAAAGGTTCTTGAGTTCCTCTCTCTCCACACATTCCAACATAATGCGTGAAGTAAGGATCTAGTACACCACACTTTTGGATTGGATGGCTTGGACTTCGGCCATTGGTGAATTACATCTGAAATATCAGCAAGTACCCGAGTAAAGTAAACAAAGGCACGAAGCACCTCCCAAATCCTACCGGTAAAGCTGCAAGTGAGAAAGATGTGATTAGCGTCTTCCTTACTCATCCCGCATAGAACACATTTGCTGGGAAAGCTCCACCCTCTCTTCTTCAAAGAGTCGTGAGTGAGGATCTTCTTCTGCTGTACCGCCCACAGGAAAGTGCACACCTTGGTAGGAATGTGTCTCTGCCAGATCGTTCTGAAAGGGAAGTCCTCCCTTGGCTGAAACTTCTCCTTTACAAGACCAAGGTACATGGATCGCACGGTAAAAGGAGCATCAGCTGCTGCCAGCCAAGTCATGCAATCTGGACCTGTGGAAAAGAAAGAAAGATCCAGGGAATTAAGAAGATTAAATAAGACCTCCCTCTCTCTCAGCCCCGCCTCTTATCGAATATTTAAGAGGTATTTCCCAAACAAAGCACTCATTCTCAATACGAAAGCATTGTGAAACCGTTGCAAGCGGGAGAACTGCAGCAGCCGCCACTCTTGGAAAAACCTTAGCAAGAGTCCTTTCGTTGAGCCAATAATCCTGCTAGAAAGAAGTGTCATTACCAGCTCCGACATTTACCCTTGCGAACCTCTAGAAGTCAGACTTCAATCTCGCAATTTGCTTCCAAGGGTTGTAGCCAATTGCCCCACTAAAGTCCCCACAGATCCATTCTGTCGCCTCACAAGAGATTTTTGCCTGAATGAGTTCCTTCCACCAAGTTTCTTTCTCCTTCGCAAATCTCCAAAGCCACTTACAGATTAATGCTTTGTTTTGCAGTTCAAGGTTCTGAATTCCTAGTCCACCCCACATCTTTGGTAGTGTGCACTTCTCCCAAGCCACCAAGTGTATTCTTTTACGCTCACGCACACGCAGACCTTACCAAATAAACTCCTTCTGCAGATTATCGATTTTTTGCACCACTCCTTTTGGTACAATGAACAAAGAACATCTAAATAGCGGTTGACTGGTGAGGCAAGCATTACTCAATACAATCCTCCCTCCTAGAGATAACAAACTCCCCTTCCAACCTTCCAATTTTGTTTGTAGTCTGGATATAACCGGATTCCAAACTCCCGACGAATTTGGAGGAGCACCCAATGGGAGACCCAAATAAATGGTCAGCAAGAACTTCCATTCACAAACGAAAACTTCTGCAAGTCTTCCAGGATCTTCAACTTCGCTAACCGAAAATAAATTGCTTTTCTGCAGGTTAACTCTAAGTCTGGTGACACTCTGAAAGCACACAAGGATGGCAAGGACATTTGTTACTTCTTCTTCCATAGCATCGTAGAATAAAATGGCGTCATCTGCATAAAGTAGATGGGAAACCTCTCCTCTCCTACTTGCCTCATTCATACAAAAACCATTAACAAGTCCCGCACTACTGGCCTCCTGGATCATGAAGGCAGAATGTCTATGATGACGTTAAAGAAAAACGGTGACAACGGATCTCCCTGCTTCAGCCCTCTCCCTGTTTTAAAAAACATTCACAATAACAGACAGTCTTGTGGATGTGACTATCCCTTGAATCCACCTTTGAATCTTCGAATTAAATCCCATGGACTTCAAGGCATTGAAAAGACATTCCCAATTGACTGTATCGAAAGATTTTTCGATGTCAAGCTTCAGAACTACCCCAGGTTTTCCACTTCTTTTTCTGTTGTCCACCAATTCATTGGCAATTAAGCTTGCCTCATGAAGCTGCCTACCACGAACCCCAGAAAATTGGTGACGGGTGACAATCTGTCCATGAGAGGCCTAAATCTCGTAATCAATACTTTGGAAATCACTTTATTGAGACTGCCTACAAGGATGATCGGTCTGAAGTCGCACACTTCTTCCACTGCCTCTTTCTTCAGAATCAGACACAAAACGAATGAGCAATAGAGACTGGTATGAAGCCGGAAATATGAAAATCATCAAGTGCCTTGATTAGATCGCTTTTGATAATATTCCAACCTTTCTTATAGAATTCCAGCGTGAAATCATCTAGCCCGAGAGCTCTATCCCCATCACAATCTGAAACTGCCTTCCAAATTTTTGCTTCTGTGAAAGGTGTACTCAGCGCATAGTTGTCTTCAACACTAATTAGACCTGTCCTGTAACCTCTCGGGAAGGGTCGCACCCTCTTCTGTTCGAAGAAGCTTCATGGAAATAATCCTGGAAAGCCCGCTGCAGATCTTCCTTGCTTTCAGTAAACACCCCATTCACTTTAATATTGTGAATCTTGTTCCGACGCATATTGTTCCTTGCCACCCTATGAAAGAAAGGGGTGTTCTTGTCCCCCACCCGCAACCAAAGTTCCCGAGACTTTTGTCGCCAGATCATCTCTTCCATCAAAATGGTCTTCTCCAGTTCACATTTAATAAGGGTTCTTTTAGTGTGTCTCGGGTCAGGTAAAGGCTCTCGCTCCTCCAAATCATCAATTTCTTTCAGCTTGGACAGTAAACCTGAAACTTTGTCATCCATTCTGCCAAATTTCTCTAAGTTCCAGCCTTTAACCATAAATTTAGTGCTCCTCAATCTTTTTCCAAAGCGGAAAAAGAACCAAAACCTGAAACAGGAAGAATCCACCACCCAACAAGGCTTGTGAGAAAAGTTTCTTCCAAGAGCCACACATTTAGAAACTTCCAAGGGCGAGAAACTTTCTCTTCGATCCCCCAACGCAACAAAAGTGGATTATGATCTGACTCAAACCTTTCAAGCGCCAAAACGGAATCAGGGGCAAACAAAGTATCAAACTGCTGGTTAACAAGCGCCATGTCGATACGAGAGAAAGAATGATTATTCCCTCCTCTACTCCAAGTAAACACCGAGACCTTGAGCGATAAATCAGAAAGACTGCAGCGGTTGATAACATTATTGAATTTCTCCATCAATTCTCTATCTCGAGGGAGGCCATTTAAATTATCTTCGGACCTTACCATATTGAAATCGCCTATTATACAAAGAGGTTCCAAGCAATAGTCGCATACATTTTTCAACTCCTCCAGGAAACTCAATTTACTATCCTTATCCTGGGGGTCCATAAACCCAAGGATAACAAATGAATCTTGATGTCCCACCCTCTGTAATTTAGCTGCAAGGGAAAACTTCCCTTCCCATCAGTCCGCTAACCTAAAAAGGCCATTCTGCCAGAAGATGGCAATACCTCCACTCGTTTCTATCGCATCCTTAGCCGCCCACTCCGTGCTTCTCTTGCCACTGACAGAATTGACTAGAGTTTGAGTACAATTATCCCACTTTGTTTCAGATAACACTATTATATCTGGACGACATCTTCTAATCATTCTTTTCTTCCCAACGGATATAATCGTACGGAGTCCTAAATTGTTAGGTGATTTTTAACGATATAAAATGGTTGCTTAACCACACAAGAATTGCATGGTGGTTGATCTCCTACGGTAATCCGTAACTATGGAATTATAAGTTTGCTTCACGCAATCACTCGTAAACAGAGGTCAGTCACTACTCCCATTAGGAATGACAATGTGGCAAATTTGAGGTGGGTATCTTGATAATCATATCAACACTGTGGCATGTCATATAATTTATCACGAGGGATCGGTCGGGGCAGGTTGACTACTCATATGGTTTTAAGAGAAAACATTAGAAATATTCATTTTTCATTAATAAACCAAGAAACAAAATAAATATAATTAAGTTATTCAAAAAATTGAGGTTCTCACCTATTTATAAATTTGTTATAGCTAAAAATATAAAGTAATAAAAATAAATTTTAAAATTTTTGAGCAAAACAAATTAAAAATGAAATAAGTTTGTACAGATCATATCGAGAAGAATACTCATCATAACCATCCGTCCCAAAACATATGAAATAGACCAAATCAAAATTGCCCATAAATCTTCCGGTAATCTAACCATACCTATAAGGACGTTCCGCTTTAAAACCCCTCAATTCCAATTTCCCTGGCCTATGCGCAGAGAACGGAGGGGCCTTATGGTC